CCCTGGTAAAGATGAGGTGTTGGGGACCGGGGAATTGGAAGTTCTGGAGGAGGTGGAGGGCGTGGGTGGTGTCACGGACGTAGGTAGGGAGTTCCTGGACCAAGGGGGAGAAAATGGAGTCCAGATAGTTGGAGATAAGTTCGGTGGGGCAGGAGCAGGCGGAGACAATGGGTCGACCAGGGCATTCAGGTTTGTGGATTTTGGGAAGGAGATAGAAGCGGGCGGTGCGGGGTTGGGGAACGATGAGGTTGGAGGCCATGGGTGGGAGGTCACCTGAGGTGATGAGGTTGTGGATGGTTTCGGAGATGATGGTTTGATGGTCGGAGGTGGGGTCATGATCAAGGGGGCGGGAGGAGGAGGTGTCGGAGAGTTGGCGTCTGGCCTCGGCAATGGAGAGGTCAGTGCGCCATACTACAACTGCACCTCCTTGTCCACGGGTTTTATGGTGAGGTTGGGATTGGAGCGGAGGGAGCGGAGGGCTGCACATTCTGCGGGGGAGAGGTTGGAGTGGGTGAGAGGGGTGGAGAGGTTGAGGCGATTGATGTCTTGACGGCAGTTGGAGATGAAGAGGTCGAAAGGGGATTCTGAAATAAATAGGGAGAAAGGGGGAGGCGGATAGAAGATGGATAAAGGAGAAGATAGGAGGAGAGGAGACAGACAGGTCAAGGAGGCAGGGTTGGAGCCAGTAAAGGTGAGTTAGGGAGGGGATTGGTCGGTCCAGGGAGGACCGACAGGTCAAGGAGGCAGGATGAGGCTAGTAGGGAGGAGATGGGGGTGGGGCTTGAGGTGGGAGGAGTGGATAGGTGGGAGGACAGGTTAGGGAGGCAGGTACGAGCTGGGCTGGTTTTGGGATGTGGTCGGGGGAGGGGAGATTTTGAAGCTTGTGAAGTCCACATTGATACCATTGGGCTGCAGGGTTCCCAAGCAAAATATGAGATGCTGTTCCTGCAACCTTCGGGTGGCATCGTTGTGGCACTGCAGGAGGCCCAGGATGGACATGTCATCTGAGGAATGGGAGGGGGAGTTGAAATGGTTCGCGACTGGGAGGTGCAGTTGTTTGTTGCGAACCGATTGTAGGTGTTCCACAAAACGGTCCCCGAGCCTCCGTTTGGTTTCCCCGATGTAGAGGAGGCCACAACGGGAACAGCGGATACAGTATACGAAATTAGCAGATGTGCAGGTGAACATCTGCTTGATGTGGAAAGCGTTCTTAGGGCCTGGGATGGGGGGTGAGGGGGGAGGTGTAGGGGCAGGTGTAGCACTTCCTGCGGTTGCAGGGAAAAGTGCCGGGGGTGGTGGGGCTGGTGGGGAGTGTGGAGCGGACAAGGGAGTCACGGAGAGAGTGGTCCCTCTGGAAAGCAGATAAGGGTGGGGAGGGAAAAATGTCTTTGGTAGTGGGATCGGATTGCAGATGGCGGAAGTTTTCCTGGACCATCTCCGATACCTCTCTCTCCTTCCTGGACCTCTCTATTTCCATCTCTGGCAGCCACCTGGAAACCGATATCCATTTCAAGCCTACCGACTCCCACAGCTACCTGGAATACACCTCCTCTCACCCACCTTTCTGCAAAAATGCCATCCCCTATTCCCAATTCCTTCACCTCCGCCGCATCTACTCCCGAGATGAGGCATTCCACTCCTGGACATCCCAGCTGTCCTTGTTTTTCAAGGGCCGCAACTTCTCCTCCACAGTGGTCGAAAGCGCCCTTGGCCGTGTCTCTCGCATTTCCCGTAACTCGTCCCTCACACCCCCTCCCCGCTATAACAACCAAAACAGAATCCCCCTCATCCTCACGTACCACCCCACCAACCTCCGGATCCAACACATCATCCTCCTACACTTCCACCATCTGTAATCCGATCCCGCTACCAAAACATTTTGACCTCATTGACCTGTCTGTCTCCCCTCCTCCTATCTTCTCCTTTATCCATCTTCTATCCGCCTCCCCCTTTCTCCCTATTTATTTCAGAATCCTCTTCCTCTCCCCCATTTCTGAAGAAGGGTCGAGACCCGAAACATTAGCTTTCCTGCTCCTCTGATGCTGCTTGGCCTGCTGTGTTCATCCAGCTCTACACCTTGTTATCTCACAAAAATTATGAGATGTTACCAGGACTGTGAGGTTACACCTCTCATAAAGGATTGAACAGACTGGGGCTCTATTCTTTAGGAAAGAGAAGACTGAGAAGTGACATGATAGATATCTTCAATTTTAGATTATGAAGGTTTTGAGAGGGTGGGTGTAGAGACAGAGTTTTCACTTGCAGGGCAGACCAGACTTGGGGCTCCAAATGTAAGACAGTCACTGATATATTCTATTGGTAGGGAATTCAAGGCAATTTCTTTGCCCAGAGGTTAGTTAAAATATGGAACTCACATTTGCAAGTCGTAGTTGAGAAAATGACCATGGATATATTTAAGGAGAAGCTAGATAAATATAAAAGGAAGAAAGGAGCACAAGATGTATTGACAATATAAGATGATAAAGAGTGGGGTGAGGCTGGATTGGAGTATAACCAGTGGCATGGACCTGCTGGACCAAATGGTCTGTTTTTATGCTGGCAATACCATATACCACGTAATATGCCCAATGTAGGAGCAGAAATCGGTCATTCAACCTATTAGGGCTGCTTTGCCATTCAATGGGATCATGGCTGATCTGATAATCCTCATCTCCACTTTCCTGCTTTTTCCCCATAACTCTTGATTCACTTACTGATTAAAATCTGTCTATCTCTTCCTTGAATATACTTAAAGACCTAACACTCCAGGGTAAAGAATTCCACAGATTCACTGCCCTCTAGGAGAAGAAATTCCTCCTCTTCTCTATCTTAAACATGTGATCCCTTATTTTGAGATTTTGCCCTCTGCTCCTCGATCAAAATACTGTTACTTGTTTGTATAAATATGGGGATAAGTGGGGGTGGTGCATTGAATGTCAAATCTGGAAAAATTCAACCAGCTCAAAAAGGAAATGAAGATCAAGAATTCACGCAGTTTTATATTTCTGCAGGAGAAGCCAGGATACGTGGTGAAGAACTATTTTTTCTACTACTTGTTCCGATTTGCTGCTGCACTGGGTCAGGAGATATTTTACATCACATTCCTTCCATTTACTTATTGGAATTTTGATCCATTTGTTTCAAGGAGGCTGGTTGGCGTGTGGGCTGTAAGTGCATCTTTTAAATTTATTTTAATTTAACCATCAGAGACAAAACATTGCAATTCAAGAACTCTTAGCACAACAGTAGGTATTTGGATTGTTGGTTTTAGATTATAATGCTGTTTTTTAGAGATGATGTTGCTACAGTGTATATGAAGCTACTTCAGTTTCACATAGAGTGCATTGTACATGCGTGGTCAGAAATGAGCGATGTAATTAGCACTAACTTACAGAGAGGTCTATCTTTATCCCCTACATTTTCTCTTGTGCATGATTTCTGAGTAGGCACTTCATTTTCCACAGGGAGTCAAGATTAAAGGTAGTCTTCAAATGAAGTTAATACAATAAATGCAAATTATACCTAGCATGCATAGGTAATTCACTTCCAATTTTAAAATCATAGATTTTGTCCTGCTTATCTAATAATTTAGTTTTCTGCTATTAGTCAGTCTCATGTGGTATTACATATGGGGAGTTAACACAAAATTTCATGGGAGAGATGAGCATTGTAGAAGCTGCTTTTTATATGTTAATTTGTCTCCCAATGGCAAGACATGGTATCTGAAAAGAAGCACACATATCTGATGGGAAGTGTTTGCTTCATCATCTTGATGAAGAAATTTGCTTGCACACATAATGCCTGCTGGTAAAGAGAACAGAAGGCAAATTAGATATCAATCTGGATACTAGGCAGATGCTTTGGCCATTTGGAATAGGAGGCTATTAACTATTAGTTTGTGATGAACAGGTTAAATTGCTTTTAATATTTCTACGTCCCTCTCACTCTTCTGACTTCATCCTTCCTTTGCCACCCACTCCCCCCCACCCCCCCAACCCCAACCCCAACACACACAGCAGCCCCTGCTCCTTTCCCAGGACCATCATGTGGTACTCAATTCAAACTCTGTTGGTTGAAAATCTTCTCCAGGCTTAAGGCCATTTCGCAAGATACCTCAAAGCTGTTGCAACTAGGCCACTTGTTTGGATGATCAGTTCAGTGTGATTCTCCTGCTATTTTTAAACTTCATTTTTAAATGGGGAAACACATTACCTCCTTCACTTGGCACCTGCTATTGATGGACTAATGATAACACTGTCACTGCCAGGTATTCAATGTATAGAGATCACAGATCCAAGTATATAGCTATCAACATGTGGAAAATGGAATACAAAAGATAAAATATGAACAAGGTAAGACTTAACCCCACTTAAACATCTGGAACTGAGTTTATGTTTAAATGTAAAATTCATCAAAAGAGTGGCCCTTCTAAACCAAATGGTGTGCATCTTGACTCTAAGTGAATGTGACTTGATAAGCCTGCACAAATTACCTTGTAGCACTCTGCAGTGTATTAGTATACTGCCTTGAGGTTAATAAAATCTTTTAACTTCCATTGTTAAAAAAATTGGACAGATGTGCTGACACCAGCCTTTGATCTCCACAAGTGAAATGATAGCTTCAGCAGAGAACTACACAGCTGAATTTTTTTAAAAAGCCCACTCAAGTAGTTTTACTGAAGCCTGCCATAGTACTTCTAGAATGGAAAGATCACTATTCTTTCTTCAAGTTGTCATAAAGTGCTATTAATAAGCTTCTTTACCATGAATCTGCAGGCTGAAAGTCAAAGGGACATGCTATTTGACGTATTGTTTGCCTTTGATTCCAAAGTGGACACACACCTAATGATTACTTAACCATTCCTATACTGTAGGGAATAAACAAGAAATGGGAAAAAAAGAGACTGTTTTTCATATTTGATTTTACTTTGCATACAACTCAGAAAGTGAATTACAGTGCTTTTTCTGACTTACAGTGTCTGTCAAACCAGAGTATGCATTCTCCCTTGGCATTTTATATATGTTGAGCACTTGAACTTGCCACAAGGAATCAGTTTCAAGTTCAAATGCAGGGCCTCACGTGTGAACACTTACAATGTTTACTTTTCCCGTTTGTTCTCAGAACCAGGTGAACTTGTGTCAGAAAGATACAGGATGTGTACTCTAGTAACGAGGATGGTTTAATCAGTAGATCTTTTGTTTTATTATCTTTGTTTAATATCTTTCAAAATTTCTGTAGCTGGATTCAATTAATTGTAAGGTTGGAGGTTCTGTAAACCAGTACTCAATATCAATATAATATCAAACCAATCATAGAAATCTACTGTATTACTCCCATTGCATGGAAATGTGTGTGTAAATTTTCCTGGCAATTAGAATTATCTGTAATAAACATGGTACTTTAATGTTTTACAGTAAAAATCACCAAGAAATACTTCCCTCTGCCTTCCTATTTGTTCAGAACACTCAATTCTGGGCATACATTCTAAAACCTTGTGACACAGCCCTAATGATGACCGTAATGTCACTTTTTAAATGACATATAGGAAGTAACTTAGTGCTGCACGAAAATACCTGAAAATGGTACAATCTGATTTTTACAAGGTGGTTCTATCTCCGTTTGGAAGGAAGTATAGAGGAGTTCAATATTATTTAAATGGAGAAAGACTGCAGAAAGCTACAGAACAGAGGGATTTGGGTGTCCTCATCCATGAATCACAAAAACTAGCATCCAAGTTCAGTGGGTAATAGGGAAATGGAATTTTGGCCTTTATTTCAGAGGGAATGGAGTATAAAAGTAGAGAGGTTTTGCTAAAACTATACAAAGCACTAACCAGACCACAGCTCACATACTGTGAACAGTTTTGGGCCCCTATCTAAGGAAGGATATACTGGCATTGGACACTGTCCAAATAAGATTCACTAGGCCGATACCAGATTTGAAGGGACAGTCTTTGAGGAAAGGTTTAGTAGATTGAGCCTGTACTCTTGGAATACAATAGAATAAAAGGCAACCTTATTGGAATATACAAGATTCTTAGGCTACATGACAGGGTTGGTGTGGAAAGGGTTGTTTCACCTTGTGGGAAAGTCCAGTAGATGAGGGCATAATTGCAATATAAGGCATTGCGCATTTCAAACAGAAATGAGGAAGAATTTCTTCTCTCTGAGAGTAGTTAGTCTTAAATATAGATATAAAATTTGCTGTGTTTCTACATCTTTTTAAATAATTCATTAAAGTGAATGTGCTACTGTCCTTGCTATCTGTGAGAAGTATGAGAATCAAGAGTTAAATATTGCTGCAACTACCCTTACTTAGTTCCACTCTTAACTATCATTGTAACCATTGAATTTCCATTTCCTCACACGCCCATACATTTTTGGACTATCCTAATGCTCTGTACATGACCTGTCCTCTCACTCATCACTATGCTGCTCTTGGTAACATTATCCACAAATATGGAGTCAGTTTCTATGTAGCCTCAACATCACCTCTCCATGATCTCCCTCTGCTCCTCCACAACCTCTGTGTTCATCTGACATTTAGTTTTGGATGAATCCCTATTTCCGTCAGTCAAACTTTAGTAAGGGCAAAGACATTGTTTTCAGACACTAACACAAACACACACACAAAAAAACGCACACTGAAAAAGTTGTCACTAATTCCATCTCCCTCCTCAAGCAAGGCTGATCATCACCTCCAAACTTGACTATTAGCATTTCATCCCAGTGAGCAAAAATTCTAAACAGCTCTAATGCACTAATGCACCAATTTTTCAATTGTTTTCTTTACTTGTAGTTCCTCTTATCAGCCATACTCCTCATGAATTTGTATCGTACCTTTGGTAATATTAAGCCTGAAACCATGTACTAATATTCTATTTGTGGTTTTACTAATGGTTTGTTACACCTTAACATTTATAATCTGTACAAGGCGCCACAAAATTGATTTGTATCAGAAGTGAACTCATACACCTCAGACCAATGAGTGGACAATAAATAAAGCTCATTCAAATACAGGACATGAACATCTTAGAATTCCATGTACAACCTATCGTATCTGGCTGATTCCCTTGGCTGTGAGAAGTTGCTGAGCTGGCTGGGTCATCATGTTTTAATGCTTAGAAGTCATTTTTTTTCCACATACTGCAAAGTTCCTTGAAACAACATTGTTAACACGTTGAAAAAAATCATGAAATTGCCAATATATGCATTTTTTTCTTTCTTATTTTTGTCTTTGCATCAATAATCTATTGAAGAGATGTTACAATATCAGACAAAAAACAAGCTACATATCACTATAACAGTTATACTGAAGTTAAAGCTACCTGCTATTAGAATGTTAATTAAATTAAAAAGCATTAATGAAAATATTCAAATAAATTATTTAGAATGAAGCAATTGTGATGAAAATATGATTATGTCTGTGTTGAATCTTAAGCCTTATTTTCTGTTACAAGAAATAACATGCAAGGAATTAAAGCTCAGGGTAACAGAGAATAGTTTGCAACAGCATCAACGCAGAGACAAAGAACATTAACAGCAGTGTATTGATAAGGCATGATGTGAGGGGAGTCTCAATAGGATGCCTCAGAGGTTAATTGTTTAGTCAGAGATATCACAGTCAATCACATATTGCCTTGTCATTGTCCAGTAAAGGTAAAGTCATTGTTCTACCAGCCTGCTTTCTCATTAGAGAGACATGATTGGTGGTTCCTCGTCTCCGCCACATCTGTTTTGATGATGCTAACTTTGACAAGGTGGACTCCAAAATGTCCACCTTCTTCCTCAACTAAGGATGCCCCAGCCCCTGTGATTGATAGGGCCCTCTGCTGCATCTGACCCACCTCCCGCACTTCGGCCCTCACCCCCTTTCTTCCCTCCCACAACAGTGATAGGGTCCATCTTGTCCTCATCTACCACCCCATCAGCATCCACATCCATAAGATCATTAGGCACCATTCCCACCACTTGAAGTGGGATGCTACCACCAGACACATATTCCCCTCCCCTACCATGTCAGCCCTTCACAAGGACCATTCCATCCAGGACACCTTGATCCACTCCTCCTTCACTCTCCCAACATCCCTCCACATCAGCATGGTACCTTCCCCTGCAACTCCAGGAGGCGTAATACCTCCTGTTTACTTCCTCCGTCCTCAGTATCC